CGGACAGAGCAGCCTCTGACTGTGGTGAGCCTGGGCCTGCCGCAGACAGAGGCTGGTGTCCAGCAGCAGCCGCTGTCTGTGGGGAGCTCAGGCCTATCGCAGACAGAGGCTGCTTCCTAGTAGCCTCCCCTGCCCCATGCCCCCTTTGACATGGCGCATGTGCAGGGCTTCTTGAAGCGCGGGACCCAGGGCGGCCGCCCCGCTCGCCCTGCCCTATATCCGCCCCTGGCTGCCAGCATGAAGAGGGGGCAGGTGGCACTGCGAGATGGTGCTGGGGGGAATCAGCTTTTAAGATGGCTCCCTCCAGCACGAGGTCCTGCTCCTCCCCTCTTCCGGGCTAGGCTTATTGGTTAATTGTATAGTCAACTGCACATTGGTATCCCTAATGGAGTGGCCGTTGTTTTCAACCCAGCATTTCTCATGAGAAGGAACTGAAAATGGGGGGGAGGGATAGCTCAGTGGTTTGTGTATTGACCTACTCAACCCAGGGTTGTGAGTTTAGTCCTCAAGGAGGCCATTTAGGGATCTGGGGCAAATCTGTTAGGGTATGTCTACACTACAAAGTTAATTCAAACTAACAGACATTAGTTCAAATTAACTTTAATAGGCACTACACTAGCGCTCCGCTAGTTCGAATTTAAATCAAACTAGCGGAGCGCTTAGTTCGAACTAGGAAAACCTCATTTTATGAGGATTAAGCCTAGTTCGAACTACCTAGTTTGAATTAAGGGGTGTGTAGCCCCTTAATTCGAACTAGTGGGAGGCTAGCCCTCCCCAGGTTTCCCTGGTGGCCACTCTGGCCAACACCAGGGAAACTCGTCTGCCCCCCTCCCGGCCCCGGACCCCCTAAAGGGGCACGGGCTGGCTATGGTGCCCGTGCCAGGTGCAAGCCTGCCAGCACCCAGCCAGCAGACCCGGCACCTGGCATGGATCGAGCCACCCACCCGATGCCCCCCAGTCTTCCCCCTCTTCCCGGGACCAGGCTGGCGGCTCCCGGGAGCTTGCCCGGGACCGCAAGAGGCAGGCACCCGCCTGGGCTAGTGCAGACATCGTGGACCTCGTCCACGATCTCCGCACTAGGCACAGGAAAGTGGCCGTCTAGGGCAGGAGAGCTGCCAGCCTGGCCACCCAGGAGCAGGTGTGCATGAAAATCAAGGGGGTCCACTGAGACCCCCGACCCTGAGCCCTGAGCTTACAATGGCCGTCCTGGGTCAGACCAAAGGT